GGAAATATTATTATTATATTATTATAGGATTTATTGTGTTCAAGTGGTGATTTTGTTGATGTTAATATGTGATATTTCACGAGGGAGATATTGTTTTATTATCCATATTCTACGTGCGTGGTAAATAGAGAGATAATCGAGATGAAAAATGAAAGAGAACGCATCATCCCACGCTCTTCATAGAGTCGCAAACCTGTTGGTGCCTCAGGCCTTTTAGGATTTAATGAAATATTGTCACTGTAGTCTATGATTATTTAGTATTGATTTAATTTTTTATTTCTTTGAAAAAAAATTAATTATGTCCATTTGCAGATTCTCGTATTGGGACTGGCGTCAGAGCCCTGGAAGGCGAATAAAAAATTCAGCAAAATGTACGATAATTTCATCGCCATTCCCGTCTCGGATTACAATTCCGTTTATCTGTTCTATCAGGATGTTCTCATGAGATATCACAATGTGAATAGGCATTTTGATGTTTCTGCGGTGGCTAGGGCATCGGTGGGATATTCTTTGGATGTGATTCGTGAGGCTGTGGAGAATGTGATGAATCTCAGGAGAAGGATGAGACTCAGATTTGAGCCGTTGAGGCCCGAGGAGATTCTCAAAGAGTTGGAGAGATATCCGAGGATTTCGGAGAAAATTCTTACTGATTATGCGAAATTTCAGATGAAAACTCCACTTGGAAGGAAATTAGCGAAAATGAGGAAGGAACAGGAGAATAATGAAGGAAATTGATTCGAATTTGATGAACAGATCAAATCTTAATTATCATCTTTATTGGATTCAATAATAATTTGATTGGATAATTAATCAGCATTGATAATCATTACTGGAAAGAAGGACTGCAATTATTTTTTAAAGAGACGAAGCGAGAGGAAATTAATTCGAATTTCATTCAAATTTCAATTCAATTTTTTAAGATTTTTACTATTCATTGAATTATTGCAAAATTTCGCAGCAAAAGCTGATGTGAAAGTAATAATTCAAAAACATGAATATCATAATTCAATAGTTAATAATAATTAATGAAGAAAAAGAATTGCAATTATTTTTAGAGGAAGGAAATACGAGGAGAAATTAATTCAAATTTCATTAAAAATTCAATTCCTTTTTAAGGTTTCACCTATTCATTGAATCATTACAAAATTGCGTAGGAAATAGTGATACCAAAATCCGCGATAGAGGTATCCATTTGCTGATTTAAAAAAACCGTTAAATTATTGAGTTCTGGTGTTTAGAAAGCATCAATGATGCCTGAGGACAAGCCTTACTATATTAGTCTACAGTGAAGATCAACTTTTTCACTGAATCACCCCTCAATAAGGATTTACCCCTTCTCTTTACCTCTACACACGCGTCAGTCGCGTGCACCAACACACGACAGTATTCTTCGGAGAATATCCCCCGGCTTATATGACCTCTTCTTCAATCTTCCTCGATCTTCATGCACTTCTTCAAGCCGTGAAGCTTCACCTGGAATCCCAGCACCAGCTCCCACGCCAGTACTTCTTCACTCCAACCATTGATACCATTTCGATAATATCCTTATCCCAAAAATAGCACCCACGTGTCGAATTATAATCAATTCACACCTCAAACATTAAAAAATCTGTCCTCTCTTCATCCATAAAAAACTATTCATTTTGCTATTTCCACATTTTTCGTTAAAAACCACAACTAACATCTTCTGTATTTCAGATTTAAAAAAGAAGAAGAAACCGCAGTTCTTCAGGATCACTTCAAGGAGAATTCGACACTAAACACCTGGTGATATCATTTCCAAAAAAAATATTGAAACTGTTACGGTGCAGTAATTTTGATAGCCCTGCATGAAAAATATAAATTGTTGGATAAAATCCAATTAGCTGGTGATGGTGAAATGAATGAAGGAAGAAACGTAACTAAAATCCATGGAGAGGAGAATGGGGCACTGGTGTCTCCCCTCCATCCTGATACTTCATCTCTCTTCAACGATTCCCTGTTCAGGTTGTGCGTTAATAGTGGAAATGGAGTTGAGAGAGGGTTTGCCTTCGTGTGTCTCGTACGTTTGCACTGCTTCAACGTGGGTTGATGATTATCATTCGGTCTCTCTCGTGTGTCCCCACGTCGTCTTTATCCACATAGCATAACCATGTATGGAACCCAACCGATGGGTGTACGTTCTCTTCCACGGCCCTTAACGCCCACTTGCACTCTTCACTCTGTACGCAATCCTCAAACCTCCAACTCCACTCGCACAATATCATCAACATTTATCTTGTATAACCACCCAAATCTCACTGCCATTCTCAATAATGCTAAACCCAACGATTTCCTAATTCCGGAACTCTCAATAATCAGGAAATTCAAAATGCCTCTGACAGCTAATGATAACAGCTGAATGATCATCATAAAATGGATGGTTCAGGTAGTCTCATCCTGAAATCCTTCATGTTGTGTGATCATCCAATTTTAAAAAAAAAGGAGTCCTGAATATTAAAAAGCCCAGGGATTTTTAAATTGTGGGATTATCAATAATTACAAGAGTTGAAATGTCTCTGATAACTCTCATAAAACTAAAAGTCCAGATAATCGCAGCCTAAAATC